GCAACAAATGAGATCTGCAAAACACTCACCATGCCTCTTAGCAAATGCCTTGGAGTGCCTGTTTTCCAAAAAAGGGTCATTTGGAGGGGTTGCTTCTACTATCCTGGCATTTCAGGGCCAACATTAAAAGTTTATACCACATATCACCCACTCTTGAAGACCAAGCCTTTTTTGACACTTTTTGTTCATATGAAAAAACTGTTTTTTTGCTAGAAAATTACTTTGAACCCCCAAACATTGTATATTTTTTTAAAGTAGAGGCCCTAAAAAATAAAACGGTAGATGTTGAAATTTTTTACATCACACAGTATTTGCACAGCGATTTTTCAAACGCAAATCTTTTGGGAAAAATACACGTTTTAGAATTTTAATGCACAAATACACAATATATTGCCCAATTGTTTGATTGCGTATGACCGTGGAATGACAAGAAAGTACATACATTTTTATTATCGATAGGCGACGCTTTAAAAATCTTTACAGGTCACCAATTTATATTTACACAGGAGTTCTAGTGCTAGAATTACTGCCCTCGATATGACGTTTACGGCGATACCTCACATGCATGGTGCAACCATTGTTTGCATACCAGCACGGAGTCAAAGCTTGCGTGCATGTGTGTAGGGGGCAAGGGTGCTTTTTAGATTGATCAAGAGACCTGAATCTTACTTTGAATTATCTGAGCTGGCAAGATATAGCTTATGCTTTATCTACAGTATCCATTAATAGAAGCTAATTACAAAACACTTGGTACCTAGTCCCCACTTGAGTTGCAAAAATGCACCCATCCACATTGCCCACTTGTTTCCCATGTTGTGGCCAAATGAGAACTATGCATCACATCTGATAGCAATGCTCTGTAGTGACTAGATTTTGGATTTGGATGTTCAATTGTTATTATTCAGTCACAGGAGTAAATATCCTCAGGTACCCGTAGTTGGCCATCTTTCAAAAACTACCTGACGAGGTCCACAGAGAGTCAGTGAAATTGATCACATATATTTTTGGCATCAAGAATTACTATTGCTAAATATTGGAAGCAGTCAGTGGTTCCTCTTGAATATGTAAAGACTAATGCAGGCCATAGATGGGTCGAAAATCGGCCGATTTTTCGGCCGAAAATAAAATCAGCCGATTTTCGGATCGTTAGTGGGTTAATAGGTCGGCCGTTTATTTTTCGGTACTTTGGCAGATTTTTTTATCGCTAAAGTTTGAAAAAAATCAGCCAATTTTGCCGATCGGCCAATTTTTCACGGCAATGATAGGCAAATCAGCCGATCTTTTTACTGATAATAAATCTGCGCATGAGCCGTGACCTGCAAGAGGAAGAGGATGAAGAAGAGGATGAAGAAGAAGAGGAAGAAGATGAAGAGGATGAAGAAGATGATGAAGAAGAGGATGAAGAAGAGGAAGAAGAAGAGGATGAAGAAGAAGAAGAAGTCCAGTTCAGCAAAAAGTGTCCCTGCAGAGAGCTCCGCTATTTCTTTGACGGTCTTTGACATTTATAGCGGCTGCAACAATGTATCTATTTGTTTCTGAATAAAAACAGCTGTATCCGAAATGGATACAAATAGATACAATGTTGCAGCTGCTATAAATGTCAAAGAAATAGCGGAGCTCTCTGCAGAGACACTTTTTGCCGGCTGTAGACGGAATGAAAATCGGCAGATTTTTTTTTTACCGTTCCTGATAACGTCGGCCGATTGAACGACCGATTTTTTTTTAAAGAAAAATTGGCCGGTTTGCTCCCCATCTATGGCCTGCATAAGCTTAACTGGATTGTGGTCAGTGTCAGATTCACCTGTATTCTTCATAATACACAATTTTGATAGAACATGGTATCTGTGGATTCGTTATACTGTATATCAGTCTCTTTGCGAGTCCCGGATTGACCTTTCTTTTCTCTCGCTCTCTACTCTGGTTTTCCTTTTTTCTTTCTTTTTTTTCTTCCCTCTTTTTTTATTGATTAATTCAAGAGGTTTTCAGGGCCTTCTGTGGGTCTCAATTTGTTAATGCTCTTAGGCAAATGAACAGTGGTTCTTCCCTTACATTTTACCTACTGCCTTCCCCCCCCCCCCCCCCCACCCTCCTCCCTATTTTCCCCCACTGTGCAAATGTTACTGTTATTTAATACATTGCTGGTATTACATCTGCTCCAAATTGTCATGGCTCTAGTCCCTTGTGAATCAGGTTTGCACTTCTTAGCTCCTGACGATGATTACCATCCTCGCTTTGTACAAGAAAACTTTTCTGAGAGCACTTTAATGTCACAGGTTTGTGACATCTCCAATCATTTATCTAATGATGGTTTACATTATGCTAACTTTTTGACAGATTTATGTTCTTTTTCATAATGGCAATTTGAAAAATGACTACTGTTTACATGATATACTTGTTATTGTCATGCCATCCCAATAAAAAATATTAAAATATGAAATAGTTTGCAAATTAATGACATCTATTGCATATTAGGGGATAAAATCAATATCCTGAGCATATAGTACGCTTCCAACCACTCCATCCCCCACAGTTTTACCTATTGTACCACTCACCCTTCCCTCCTAGATTGTAAGCTTCAAGGAGCAGGGCTCTCAACTCCCTCTTGTATTGAACTGTATTGTTACTGTATTGTCCCCCACTATAATGTAAAGCGCTGAGCAAACTGTTGGCGCTATAGATATAGCTATAAATCCTGTATAATAATAATAATAATATAGAGCAAGACAGTAGAATATACTTACAGTATAAAGCGAATTATGCATAGACAATGTACGTTTAAATGTACACAAACATTTGCATTATTTTTTTTGCTACATTTCTATACCATACATAATTTAAACAAGGAAATGTTCATGACTACACATGCATGTTACAATAGCCCAACTGAGGACCACATTCACTGTTAGACTTTTGTTTATTTAGTTAAGAAATGTGCCTGGAATTCGGGTGGGTGGAATTTGCCCTGGAACTGGAGAATTTATTTCCCTATATGGCATTGGTTACCAGCCACTCTCCCCTGGAGGTCTACATATACCCCTGCTTAAGAGTAGGGGTTACAGGTGTATACATTATGTGCTGGCAATGTTCTGCTGTACCTAATAAGGAGGCGTGACCACTGTCATGCCATCAGGATATCTATATGTGAGGAGGCCACTTTAGACTCCTGGAGTGGTATCTATAACAGGTTTGTGACATCTCCAATCTAAATACACATGTGGCTGGATACTTTACGCTCAAGTAATTTCCCGTGCCATAAAGGCATGGTGGGGTGCTGATTAGCAGCAAGTGAGGTTACAGCATGTGTTGGTGGGGTTTCCCAAGTTAGCATTGTCTTTTATTGCCCTTGTGTCTGCCCGAGGAGTGGTTTTTAAGGTGGTGCTGGTTGTGACATATGTACAGACAGCATAACAAAATATCAATGATTTCACAGGTCTAATCTGAGGAAGCTGACAAAGTCTGCGAAATGCGTTGAGATGGAATGCAACTTTACCCTTGGCCAAAACACTGAAAAATATGTATTATGACACTGTGGGGTAGATTTACTAAAACTAGATCTGGCGCAGCTGTGCACGGTAGCCAATCAGTTTCTAACTTCAGCTTGTTCAATTAGGCTTCGACAATATAATGTGGAAGCTGATTGGTTTCTATGTAGAGTTGCACCAGCTTTTGCACTTTTCAATTTTAGTAAATAACCACCTGTATCTAAGATAAGCCAGAGCTAGTTGACTGTTTCTGTCAAAGATCCTCTCTCCCTGAGAAGCACAATGAGGCCTTGTTCACACAGGGCACTGACTCCCAAATACTGTGAATTGGCTGTTTTATTCAGCACGCTGCCCTTGTTTGAAGCCACTTACCCACACTCCTGTCACATTACAATGCGTGGCTATGTCCATGCAGTTGCTGCATCCTATTAGAATTGAATGGGATGCCTGCATGCAACACCTGCAGTCTAAAGACGCTGTATAAGAAACGTCCTGTTCACAGTATACATGCCCCAGTTCCCATGTAAATAAAGCCTGAAGGTGCAGCCTGCCAGCACCAGCGTTTTGTAAATAATGTCATGTGTTCATTAGGACATTATAGTGATTACATGATAGGGAACCACCATGGTGTTTGGTTTCCAGTCTCAATCTGACAACAGGGCTGTATCTTTAGCATCTTCTGAGGAATATTTATCTACAGATAGTAGGTCAGAAGGGATTAAAGAATATGTAAATCCAATCACTAAGAGTACATATGAGCTATACCATATTAACTCTTTGTTTCCAGAAGTCATTGATGCTTAAATGCTCAGATCAAAGTTAACAGCGTCAACATGCAATTCTTTAAATGGATAATATTTGTATGACTAATTTGTGCACCTAAATAGATATTATAATATTTCTAAAGACATATAATGCTTTTATTTTATTTTGGTACACTATATTAACCACTTCAGGTCAGGACTCTTTCACCCCTTCCAGTCCAGGTAAATTTTCAGTTTTCAGCACTTTCACACTTTGAGTGACAACTCATGTTATGTAACACTGTACCCATATGAAATTGTTACCTTTTTTTTATATAGAGATTTCTTTTGGTGGTATTTGTTCACCACTGGGTTTTAAATTTTTTTGCTATAGTTTTGTTATCAAATTTTGCAAATAACTCAAAACAGTGTATATTATTTAGTCTGTGTGAAAGCTATAGAGTCTACAAACTATGGGATATATATTTGAAAATTGATTGAGACCCCAAAATGCCAGACAATGATATGATGTATGGTAGTGATCAGGACGCTAGTATGGGGTATAGCAGTGATCAGGACATTAGCATGAGGCATGGCGGTGATCAGGACGCTGGTATGGTGGTAGTCAGAACGCTGGTATGGGGTATGGGGGTGATCAGGATGCTGGTCTGGGGTATGGCAGTGATCAGGATGCTGGTAAGGGGTGCGGCGGCGATCAGAATGCTGGAATAGCGGTAATCAGAACACTGGTATGGTGGTGATGATGGATGCTGATATGGAGTATGGCGGTGATCATGACACTAGTTTGGGATATGGCGGTGATCAGGATGCTGGTATGGGGTATGGTGGTGATCAGAATGCTGGTATGGCGGTAATCAGAAAGCTAGTATGAGGTATGGTGGTGATCAGGATGCTGATATGGAGTATGGCGGTGATCAGAACGTTGGTATGGGGTATGGCGGTGATCAGGATGCTGGTATGGCATATGGGGTGATCAGGATGCTGGTATGGGGGTATAGCGATCAGGATGTGATCAGGGTATAGCGGTGGTTTGCTGGTTGGCATATGGCAGTGATCAGGGCATTGGTTTGGAGTATGGAGGTGATCAGAACACTTGTATGGCAGTAATCAGGACATTGGTATGGTGTATGGGGGTGTTTTTGTGCACACTGAGACAGGTGACAGGGACTAGCTGCATTATTTATTATGAAAATACTGGGGCATTGATCAGAGACACTGGGGCACTAAATTGGGACACTGGGGTGGCTGGCACAGCATTCTGTGAGTGTACAAGCAGCCTGACAAATAAATCAGTGAAGCCTCAAGTCTCCATGTCATTGATATGTCATTGTTTACATAGTAATAACATGATCAAATACCATCCTGTTTGGTTCTCAAGCAACAGAAGAGACCTGAGCTGTCACCAAAAGTGTTGGCTGGTGGCTATCAAAATGGAAAACCTTTCTAAACATCTCCCAAGCATAGTCATTATGCTGGGGAACATTTATATACAGATGGTGGTCAAGAAGGCATTAAATTAAATCTTAACATTTGGAATGACCCTTGAAGTTTAATAATGTTACATTTACTTTTTGACCATGCAGTTTCCCTTCGGATTCTGCACCCGCAAGCATGCACCGGCTTGAGATGCGTGAAGGTGTCATTCAGAATGAATGACAGCCCTGCGCTTTCGTAAGAGCAATGCGATCTGGTCGTGCGTGGTTCTGGGTTCTGGATCGGGTGCGATTCCTCCACCCATAACCAGCCCGCAAAATGCGGGCAAGTGTGAACCTAGCCTAAAAGGAATATGAGATTAAGACCTTTTTTCATCAAAGGTTCAAAACAATAAGACCCATACACATACACATGGATTGGTGAGGATTGCACCTGGACACAGTACTCAGTTTTTTCATCACCTGCAGAGGCTCATAAGGATTAATATTCACAAACATTGTTTGGATTTATTTTATATAGAAACACAGATTTGTAAATGTTCATCAAACTGACATCATCAAATGTCCTTTTAATGAAAGCTGCAGTTTTAAAAAAGATTGCAAACAATATTTGTATTTACATTAGCATGTTAAAACTTATATAGGGATCTGCTGCCCTCTCTACTGTCTGTATTTGTAAATAACTGTTCTTTGTTATTTACCACAAAGTGGGTTAACTGCTTCCTGACCGCCCTATAGCAGGTGCACAAAATCACATATATATATGTGATTTCGCATTTCCGGGTAGGGGGTACGCACGAACAACCTTTTTTTTTTTTTTAGCACTGATCACTGTAATGGTGTCACTGGGGATGTCAGTGACACCAAGCCAGTTCCCCCCAGTGTCAGAATGTCCGCCGCATTCCCACTATAAGTCGCTGATCGCCACCATTACTAGTAAAAATGAAAAAAAAAAATCCCAGTATATGTACTGTCATTTGTAAACGCTATAACATTCATATAAACCAATTTATTTACACGTATTGTGATTTTTTTTAAAGCAAAGACATGTAGCAGAATACATTTTGGCCTAAATTTATGACGAAATTTGATTTTTAAAATTTTTTTACTGGACATGTTTAATATCAAAAAGTCAAAAAATATTGTTTTTTTCTCAAAATTGTCAGTCTTCTTTTTTTTATAGCACAAAAAAAATTAAAAACGCACAGTCGATCAAATACCACCAAAAGAAATCTCTATTTGTGGAGAAAAAAAAGACGGAAATTTCATTTGGGTGCATCGTTGCATGACTGCGCAATTGTCAGTTAAATTAACGCAGCGCCGTAACGCAAAAAGTAGCCTGGTCAGGAAAGGGGAGTAAATCCTCAGGAGGACAAGTGGTTAAAGACAAGTCCTTCTTTTCCCTGATAACTGGCTTAGAAACCACAATTGGAGGTCTGTGATATATAAAAGGGAGTTTCCAGGAAGTACACACAGAACTAAACCACATGACTTTATACACACAGGCTGGTACTGCTGCTGTGTTTCACCCAGACCAGAATCATAGACTATTAGGCAAGTTTTTGTATGTTCTAATAGTTTAACTGTAGCTGCCCATAGCTTCTTGAGTGTGTATTTGAATCCTTCTGAGATACATTTCTCAGCCCTATTCTTATTATCTCATTCACAGTACGAGATAGCTAGGTCTGTGCTACTGTATGTGTGTAGTGTCCACCATCCAGTATACTAGTAGACGACCTGTTTATTACAATAGAATTTATATGTAGCTCCTGTTATTTTAGTTAGCCTTGTTCATTCTGCTCTGGGATTCTATAGCTAGTTTTAGCTCAGAGCTCAATACTCTAGCATAGGCTAGAACCAGGCTAGACATCCGACAGCCACTTGATAGTTAGAGGTCCGATTGCATGACAGATTAGAAGCTACTAGGGACTAAGATGCAGAGTAGCTAGGCCGAGTTCCAGTGCCACACCACAGTTTTATCTGGCAAGAGACTGCATTTCAGGCTCTTGGACTTTTGGAGGATCCCTCCATCGCTGCTAATCCTGTTTTCAGGTCTCCAGCACCAGGACAGACACTGTATCCTGATCATCCTCAGGGGCCCCTATTACTGGACTTTGCTGCAACATTTCTCTGCAGGTATCTTTATTATTAGCTACAAAAACCCGTATATATGCCCAATTCCACCAGAACTCTTGTTGGGTTCTTTCTGATAATACCTATTTGCACATTGGATGTATGTGCTATTATTAATATTTTCTTATATGAAGTTTGTATTATTCCTATACTGGTGTGCATCTACAGTATATAATTATGGTTAATCTGATATGATGGTTGCAGTAGTTCCTCTGTTCTCAGTTACTTTGATTAAATTACTGGTTGATTTCCCAGGAAGGGAATGCCCTCTGCTCACAGAGACCCTGTCCTGGGTGGAGGTGGTGCCATGCCAACTTCATTATTAAACCCATTCTTCCACTCAGCAAAGGTTCTGGCTTTCTTATTTACCTACAGGTTTAGAGCAATATCCGGTTTGAAGAGGTTCATCTGTCAACCCCACCCCACCCCAAAAGAGGACTACACTTGTATGGAATTATATAAGGTTGATTGAGTTTAGCTGAACTCCAGCGAAAGAAGAAATGCTCCCTTGCAGTGGGACTTCCCCATATGACAAGGGTTAAAAGCTCATTTAGGTCATGGTGCTGCACAAAAAAGCAGTTTTACATACCTGATCCTCTGCTCCTGCAGACTCCCTCCAGGTTGTAAGACTGGTCCCAGCAGCCTCTTCTTCCCTATGCTCCAGTGGTCGTAGGTTCTCTGATATCATCATGTCCAATGCAGAATCCATAGCACTGTGTTGGACATGAGGACTCAGAGGGACACTCCACCACTTGAGCAGGGGATGGGGGGGGTAGAGCGCTGGCTGACAAGGAAGTGCAGGAGCAGGTAAATAAAACTGTTTTTTTTGTGGCTCCCTAGATATAAACAAGCAGCCCCACTGCAAGCAAGCATGTTTTCTTTCCCTGGAGATGGGCTTTAGTGTAATTTTAAATTATATCTGGTGATTCTGCCATGAAAGTCTTTGTTCAGTTATTTCCTGTTATTAAGAGACAATGATATGCCTCCCAGTTGTGCACCTGTGTCATCAACCTGCCACATGCTTCTGATGGAAACTAGTGGGTTGCTTCAACAAACATTGCACAGGTATCATCTACTGTTGTCACCATCAAAAACATCCTCTGAAAAATACCATGCAGGCATATAGACAGAAAGTATCTTCAAAAAGGGCACAAGAAATCAACAATGCTGAAATGCAGTAAAAGATTAAAAACAAGTAAATGTGAAAACTAGTAATTAATTAAAAAAAAAAAAAACGCCATTTATTTGTTTATATTACAAAGTGCTTTAGAAAGCTAAATGTCAGTCAGGGTTTATATCTACTTTAATTGCTGACATTTGAACTTCAGAATTATTGGAATATCTGGGTCAATGTATGCCATGGCATTTAAATGGAAATTATATTGATTGTGAGTCAGCTTTTTTTTTTTCCAACACTTCATATGTTTTGTTTACTTTTGGTATAATATGTTTAAACAGCTAAGAATAGACAAGGAAATAGGTGAAAGGCTGTTAAAAGCTCAACCTAATGGTTTAAAGAGAAGATGCTGAATATACATATGCAATAATATTATAAAATTGCTTGACTAAAGGCAGGTTCACACTTGTGCAAAGAGCAGCGTTTTTTTTGTGCAAAAGAAAAATGCAGCCCTCCACAAGAGCACACAGAAAAGAATGGTTTTCTATGTGCCGAGTTCACACTTTATTACAGCTGTCAGCTGTGAGGCGGTATGGAAAACTGCAACATGAACATAAGTAACATCCAAAACGCCTCAAGGTCCATATGTTAGTGATCTTGGAGTCCCTAATCGAATGTAAATGTAACTCAAAAGCAATAAAGATTAGTTACGGACTCAACCAGATCTAGTGGGGTTTTTTTACCAACTGTATATATATCTTAAATCAGTGGCCAGAACATATGAACAACTCCTTTAATTGTACAAAAAATAGACATACAAAATATCTTAAAAACATCTCCATGCACCTCAAACAAACCTCACGTGCTCCCATTTGTGGGAGCCTTTTGATGCCATATGCTATATAAATACTCCAGTCATATACAAACTTCATTAGATTTCCAACAACTTCTCAGCATATCAAATTAAAGCTCCTAAATTATACTGTTGTCAAATATTCAATTGAATTCTTGTTCATGGACAGACATTTCATATATCGATACCACTCCGAGAATACAACTTAGTGATAATAAAGTAGGTCTCCATACATAGGATAACACTGGAGGATACCATATCTTGTAATGCGTTCACTTTCATAATAACTTCCCTCTTACACTAAAAATATATTTGTATAAATGTCCCAATGGAGACTAAATATCAAAGAAGGTCCCAAATGATCTCCAGATTTGGTGTGATCCAGAGGAAGAAGCCAGTAAAATATGTATCCCTCACCTTCCTCTAGCGCCTGCAGCAAAGGTGCTATCCAGAGGAGGAGGAGTGGGATAATTATCTATAACCTCCCTCACACACCAATACATCATTGATTAACTGGAGAACTTGTTCCAAGCTGGAATTCTCATAGGCACTAGAAGTGTAGTTA